TTTGGGGTTTGGTCTTGTCGTCTTCCATTTGTTCACTGACACCACAGGCACAGTGGGTTTTGGTGCCAATTTGGGGCCCATTGGTGTGCCGAGCCTTGGCCGGATTCTTGGCATTCAGCGGGGTTGACTAAGAACTTTCTTTAAGGCTTTCTTTTTCCTATTGTGGTGTCTGTGGAGATCTGGGGTGATCTTCTCAGGGATTGTAGGGTGGTCTTCCACTGTGATAATTTGGTGGTTGTGCAGGCCATTAACAATTTGTCTGCTTCAGCCCCCTCTGTGGTTCATCTTCTGTTTGCTTCTGAATGCATACTGTAGGGCTGTACATGTGCCCGGGGTTGCTAAAGTTACAGCGGATGCTCTTTCTCATTTTCAGTGATGGGAATTCAGAATGGTGGCACCCGAGGCGGACGAGATGGGCTTCCCATGTCCAGCGGATCTGTTGGGTCTTGGGTTTACCAAGTGAATTCGTGGATACGTGGTTCAGTCTTGGCAGCGTTATAGTAAGGCATGGAGTGAGTGACTAGCATTCGAAAGGCAACTCTGTGGTTTCCAGTCGGAGTGATTGCAGGGTTTATTACAACTAATTTGGTTCTGGGTGGCCTCAGACTGTTCTTTCTCTGCTGTTTCTGGGAAGTTGTCTGGGCTTAGTTTTTGGTTTAAACTCACCAGAGTGTCGAACATTACTAAGGATGCCCTAGTATTGTTTGGTTATGAGTAGCTGGCGGAAAGGACCTAAGTAGTCTGCTTCTCGAAGGCCGGTTCCCGGAGCTCTTATGGTAGGCATATTCTCGTATTCCCCATTTGAAGTGGTGTTGTTTCGGTTGGCATTATCCTTTGCCTTTTTTGGGGACATGTGGTTGGGCAAACTGAAAATCGGTCCCTGGGGGTTTGTTATTGGGGGATGTTTTTAACGAAGTGGATGCTGTGAGGTTTCTGATTCGCAGGTCTAAGACGGATGTTCTGAGACAGGGTACTTGGGTCACATATGGAGCAACCCTGGCTCTATGGTTTGTCCTGTGGGATGTCTTCATGCTATCTGGGAGATTCGCCCGGTGAGCGAGGGTCCTTTGTTGGTCCAAGTGAATGCCAGTTTCTTGTCTCGTTTTCAATTTATCAGGGTTTTCAGCACGGTCTTGGAGTTTTTAGGGCTGCCTAGTTCAGAGTTTGGGGGACACTCCTTTCGGATAGGGGCTGTTACTAGGGTTGGCTGAGGAGGTTATCCAACGGATTTGGAGATGGGAATCTGGGAGGTTTCGATCATATGTTCATCCAACCGGACAGAATCCGTTTCCCCTTTTGTCATTACAGGTGCCAGAAAGCAAATATGTGTTATTGGCCATTCTTACATCCATTGGGCACAGCTGCGGGCTCAGGTTCATCCCAGGGGACTAAAATTAGGCCTGTCGCCAGCGGTGGCAGAGGTCCGATGGTTCTGTACTAGGGGGATGCCGTGGGAGCAGCTGTTGCCCAAAGTGGTCCGTTTATCCAGCATGCTCTGTGTTCCTGATGTCATTTTAATACATGCTGGGGGAAATGATCATGGCGCTGTTCTGGTGTGGGATCTGGGGGAGAAGATCCAGAAGGATTTGGGGAAGCTATGGCTCAGATTTTCAAGGGTGTTTTTAATATTGTCCGAGGTGCTCTCTCTGAATTTCTGGGGGGAGGTTAAGGACCCCAGGGCTTTGGAACGAGGTAGAATTAAGCTCAACAAGAGGGTCACATGTTTTGTGAAGGGAATGGGGGCGCTCACGGTGCGTCATCACATCTTTGAGAGTAATGCTTCTATTTATATTCGTAGTGATGGGGTCTACCTGATAGATGTTGGGCTGAATTTATTTAATTTAGCTTTGCAGGAGGCTTTGGAGGAGGCCATGGCTGTGGTGTTGGGGCGGTCCCGCTGATTTAGGGGATAAACTAGCGGGTCTTGAGGGAGTCTTGTGGCAGTCTTGTGGCGGTCCGTTGAAAGTGGATGGATAGGGATGTCCTTCCCCTAACCTCAGGTACAGTGATGGATAACGGACATGCCCACTGAGCCAACTAACCGGCTTATGGTGAGCATTACGCAATGGTAAGCCCAAGAAAAGACCTTGTGCTGGTTGGAAGGAGGGGGGAGGGGGTAGCTGCCATTAAGTTAAGGTGGTACTCAGTGACATATCTATTTACTGAATAATTATCTATATAGTGTTTTTTATAGTTTTTTTCAAACAGTTTGAAGCACTTACATTTTTTGCAACAAACTAGGAAAAAAAATGTTCTTGTGACCCCAGAATGGCAGTCAGATTGATCCTTGAATCAAGAAGCTATTACCCCACAGTTGAAAAATTATGTCATTGAATATTATGTTTTTACAAGTATGCATCTAGTTGGTGTTTAAACATCTATACAGATTCTGATAAAACTACTACTTCAGGCAGATAATTCAACATCCTTATTGTTCTTATGGTAAAAAACACTTTTGTTTGCCTTAGAATAAATCTTCTTCCAGTCTAAACGCACGGCCTTGTTTCCTATGTATAGTCCTGTTTGTGAAAAGATTTCCACACAATGGTTTGTATTGGCCCCGGATATATTTGTATAATGTTATTATATCCTATCTGAGGCAACATTTTTCTAAAATGTGTTAACCTTTCTTCATAGCTAAAATGTTCCATTCCTTTTAATAATTGTGTAGCCCACCTCTGCACTTTTTTTAGTGCTATAATATCTTTCTTCAAAACAGATGCCCAAAACTGCACAGCATATTCAAGATGTAGTCTTACCAGTGATTTATAAAGAGGCAAAAGGATATTCTCATGCCGAGAATGAACGTTATTTTTCATGCATGACAGTACCTTACTGGCGTTAGCTACTGCTGATTGACATTGCACATTGTTGCATAGTTTGTCGTCTATAACAATTCCCAAATTATTCTTGTGTGTTGTTATCCCTAATTTGCTTCCATTTATGCCAAAGTTCTTTATGCCGAAGTGCATAACTTAACTGCATTTTTCTACATTAAATTTCATCTGCCATTTGAGTGCCCAGTCCCCCAGTCTATCTAAATCCCTCTGCAGCAAAGTAATATCTTGCTCACATTGTATTACTTTACAGAGTTTGGTTTTTAATTTGTGTTTATATGTTTTTGTAGTCCCCATGTGCTTTTGTTTTTTTGAGTTTATTTCAAATGACACTATATTGTGATCACTATTTCCCAAGTGCTCACCTACTTGAATGTTGGTCAAAAGATCAACATTGGTTGTTAGAACCAGGTCCAGACAAGCATCCTTTCTAGTTTGTGCTTGTACAAGTTGTGACATAAAGGTGGCATTTAACAAGTTCAAAAACCTAATTTCCATTGCTGAACTACTAGTCCCTCTGTCACAATTTATGTCCGGGTAATTAAAATCTCCACTAATTAACATGTTACCCAGATTTGCAGCTTTCTCAATTTGTTCAAACAGCTGTTGTTCCTCATCAACATTAACGTTAGGTGGTTAATAACATATCCCAACCAATAACCGATTTCCCTTCTTTTGCCCTAAGCAGATATTTACCCATAAAGCTTCCACATTTTCCTCATCACATTCCACTTGTTTGAGATTTGGCTATAGCTCATGGTTGACATACAAACATACCCCACCACTTTTCCTGTTTTTTCTGTCCTTCCTAAATAATGTGTACCCATTAAATGCTCAGTCATGTGTCTCATTCCACGATGTTTCAAATACGCCTATTATGTCTTATAGTTTAGTTTATGTTGTTGCCTCTAACTCCCCCATTTTGTTATTTAGTCTCCTTGCATTAGTAAGCATGCATTTAATATTATCATAAGTCACTTGTACTTTTTGTGAATTTTTATTAATATTACACATCTCCTCTTGTACTGAGCTAAAGCCCGGCCCAGTACAGTCCCAGTATCACCATTTTGTAGATTGCTATGACCCTCCCCCCCCTACCATTAGTTTAAAATCTCCTCCAACCTTCTAGCCATCCTGTCTCCCAGCACTGCAGACCCTCTCCCCTTTAGGTGCAACCCATCCAGTGGTGAATCCAGGGGGGTTTCCCTCTCCTCTGCCGGCTAATGCAGGGCTGGCATTGTCCAAGTGCCAGCCCTGCAATGTGCCTTTCACGGACCGGGACCGGAGGGGAGATCAGAGATCTCCCTCCCCGGTCCGCAGGCACTGTGCTGGCAGCCGGCAGGGAGAGCGAGGAGAGAGGAGCCGGGAGCTCAGCCTGCAGCTCCTCCGGGTCCTACTCTCGCGAGCACGGAGCGTTGCTGCGATTACCACGGCAATGCTCCAAATCTCGCAAGAGTGAACTCCTACCACTGGAACCACCAGGGATTCCCCACTGGACCACCAGGGATCCAGAAATGTCCCCCCTCCTCCCAGTAAAGGTAAGAAGGGAGAGGGGACATAAATTTTTTTTTTTATTAAATAAAAAAAAAACATATAAGAAGGGTTGGGGGGCTTTTTTATATGTATTGTTTTTAAAAAAATTCATTATGTATGGGTGTATGTGGGCAGTGTATGTGTGTGGGGGGGCAATGTGTGTGATAAGAAGGGTAGGGGGCTTTTTTTTATAATCACACACACACATTGCTCCCCCCCCACACACACACACATACACTGCCCCCATACACACATTGCCCCCATACACACACACTGCCCCCATACACACACTGCCCCACATACACAGCCCCCATATACACACACTGCCCCCATTCACACACACTGCCCCCATATACACACACTGCCCCCATTCACAGCCCCATACACACACACACTGCCCCCCATACACACACACTGCCCCCATACACACACTGCCTCCCATACACACACACTGCCCCCATACACAGACACTGCCCCACATACACAGCCCCCATACACACACACACTGCCCCACACACACTGCCCCTATACACACACTGCCACCCATATACACACATTGCCCCATACACACACACTGCCCCACATACATTTCCCCCATACACACACTACCCCCATACACACATTGCCCTACACATACACTGCCCCCCATACACACACATTGCCCCACACTCACACATACACTGCAATCCTCACACACACACACACACACACACTGCAAATGTCACACACAAATACTGACCCACACATACACTGCCCCCCTAACACACACACACTGCACCCATGACATATACTGCAGCCCTCACTCACACACTGCAACCTTCACACACACACACTGCTCACACACTGCCCCCCTTACAAACACACTGCACCCCTTACACATTGCACCACTCACACACACCACTGCTCCTATGCCCTACTACAGCCCCATTTCCCAGCAGACCTCAGGTAAGTTGTCAAACTCCATTTCAGGAGGCAACAGACTCTTATCCGACACTGCCTTCAAATTTATTGACTTCTTAACCACATCAGTTAGCTCTATTCTGACCCAGTCTATTTTTAGAGTTCTACAGAACCATACTGTAATTACATTTATCTTTCCAAATCAGAGGTGTATTATTAATGTGCTCTATCCTAGGTTCCCCCTATAGAACTATATTAAGTAGCATAATTATGGTAAGGATCAGTGTGATTGCCTGTTTTTATAACAATCAGGTTAACACTCGCTGAACCCCTGGGATTATGTCTATTGCCTTGTCTTTTAATAATAATTGACCTCCCATCACTGTTTAGTGAACCGTGGTCATTATTACGTTTATCCCTTAGCTTGTATCTGTCACTTCATTAGCCGGTTATCCCTGGCTTAGTAGGTACATGGTATGTCCAAGGTAGCGTGATGTCATATTGAATAAATGTTATATTAAGTCTTCCCTTTGTCATTACAATTTCTGAATCTTGTTTTCCATATTGTGCTTAAAGGACTTCTATTTCTGGTATTAGCTTAGGATTTCTTCAATCATTAGGGTTACCCCATTCTTACTTTGCTAGATAATGCTTAACAATCCTAACCCCTACAAAGCTTCACATAATTTTTCTTTGTGTCGAGCTGCTATTGCCTTTAATGGACTTTAATCTAAGTAACTTAAAAATGTAATTATTATTTTTTCATATATATATATATATATATATATATATATATATATATATTAACCTATCTGGTTTTTTTTAAATTCTTTATTTTATTTGAAATAAAAAACAAGAAAAATATACATGTGTTAGTCAGAGTAAAACAAAATAGGTGGGGTAATAGTCAATCTAGGACTAAGCAAATATATATGCTAAGCAAAGTGAAACCACCAACAGCTTTTTAATTGGGCGCACTGAGTGTTAAGGCACAAGGAGAAAAATAGGCAAAAGTTCCGGACTGGGCCAGAGTAATGTGATATAAGGCATTTTTAACCGATACCCTTAGCATACAGTAAAGTCCATTAAGGCATGGTGACAGAAGCCTCCCTGCGTTCCTTGTCTCGCCACATCACTCCATGGCTACAAATTTCTTCTCCCGCACCTAGGCAACGCCCTTGAGTCTTCAGTGAGCTATGATCTTTTCCAGTGCTTAGCTTATATGTCACTTGCAGATTCTGTCTGGATCTCCATCTCAAAGGGAGTTTCCGATCAGGAATCCTGGAAACCGGCAAGGCCACAGGGACCAACTGTGCAGGTTGTTGCTTCCATCTCATCAGATTTTGCTAGAACTGCCGACATATGGCACCAAATGCTCAGAAGAATCCCTCTTCCAAGCTTTGCGCTGGAGCTTGGGAAGCATGCTTTTCAGCAGTGCTGCCGTCAGCCATTTTAGATAGGCCATGTGGGAGGGTTCTATGCAGGATTTGCCCTGAAGCAGCAACAGGGGTGAATATACAGAGTATGTGAGGGCTGGGAAAACCCCCACCAGCCCAGGGGTGGGGAGTATAGTCTCTTGAAAATTCACAAAGTAGAAAGAGAGATCGGCCGCGTCTCCCATGTAGGAAGCACCAGGCTACAAATACTTGGAGACCGCAACAGCTGGACAGCAAGAGTGTTGAGATCTGAAACCCACACCGGTACCCAAAGAGTACCACACGAGGGTGCCAATGTGAGTACGTTCAGTGGTACAGTATTTCCACTCTCTAAATTGCTTTAAAATCTGGTTTAATCAGGAGCTCAAGCTTTCAGTGACCTTTCAGTAGGGCATCCAAGCACTGCCCCATTGTGATGATTGTGAACAGCTCGTTTCTTGTTTTGAAAGTATACATTATGTTTTTAAACGTTTGTCCCATGTATAGTGGCAAAATAAAATATAGAGAATGGAATTGCCCGTTATTAACCCCTTAAGGACACAACTTCTGGAATAAAAGGGAATCGTGATGGAATATTTCCGTCATGTGTCCTTAAGGGGTTAATATCAACGCCACTGCACTAGGAATCAGCAATGGTGACAGTGAGTTACATGGTGCAGAAGATAACTTATGTAGTGGTCACGTGACTTGGAACAGATTACACCAGGAAATTATAGAAGTACCAGTTATCAAGGACTGTATATATACAGATGCTCAGGACTGGGGGTGGTTATATTACACCTGAAAAGACTTAATTGAAACACAGTAAGAATTGTGTTTTTTGCTATTTATTCTAGTGCATTCTTTTAGCCTTTAGAGATGTGTTATTTTAGTTTTGGTTTGTTTCTCTTTTCTTGTATGTTTTACTGATTTTACATTTAAATTTACCAAATTTGTGCAATACATTTGTGCAATATATGCATTAGAGTTGATTTCTGTTATTCTTTTCCTGCCATTAGCCTGTGCAGGGGTCACCATGGTGCTGATTATATAGAGCCTTCTTATTTTGCTTTTCTTTTGTATCGTTATAAAGTTTGAGATATAGTTTTTTTCAGTCATATATACTGACTTATTGTGAGAAGAATGCATTTCCTGTTGTACCTTCATTGTATCATATCATGGAATGGTTGGGAGTTACCCTGCAACACACTAGAGGCATTCATACCTCTTATATACTTACAGAGGCTAATAATGTGAGTAATATTTTCTATACAGAGCACTTTTCAGTTGTATCGATATATGCTATATTATATATTTTTTACGTCTTGTGTTTTAAGGATTTTTTTTTTTATGTGCATACTTGAGCCATTTATACACAAGAATATATATTGCAGCTCTTCAATTTCTATCACTAACACAAATAAATGTACGCTGTTCAAAAAAATAAAGGGAACACTTAAACAACACAATGTAACTCCAAGTCAATCACACTTCTGTGAAATCAAACTGTCAACTTAGGAAGCAACACTGAGTGACAATCAATTTCACATGCTGTTGTGCAAATGGGATAGACAACAGGTGGAAATTATAGGCAATTAGCAAGACACCCCCAATAAAGGAGTGGTTCTGCAGGTGGTGACCACAGACCACTTCTCAGTTCCTATGCTTCCTGGCTGATGTTTTGGTCACTTTTGAATGCTGGCGGTGCTTTCACTCTAGTGGTAGCATGAGACGGATTCTACAACCCACACAAGAGGCTCAGGTAGTGCAGCTCATCCAGAATGGCACATCAGTGCGAGCTGTGGCAAGAAGGTTTGCTGTGTCTGTCAGTGTAGTGTCCAGAGCATGGAGGGTCTACCAGGAGGCATTTGCCAGAGAACACCAAGATTGGCAAATTCGCCACTGGCGCCCTGTGCTCTTCACAGATGAAAGCAGGTTCACACTGAGCACATGTGACAAACGTGACAGAGTCTGGAGATGCCGTGGAGAACATTATGCTGCCTGCAACATCCTCCAGCATGACCGGTTTGGCAGTGGGTCAGTAATGGTGTGGGGTGGAATTTCTTTGGGGGGCCGCACAGCCCTCCATGTGCTCATCAGAGGTAGCCTGACTGTCATTAGGTAGCGAGATGAGATCCTCAGACCCCTTTTGAGACCATATGCTGATGCGGTTGGCCCTGGGTTCCTCCTAATGCAAGACAATACTAGACCTCATGTGGCTGGAGTGTGTCAGCAGTTCCTGCAAGATGAAGGCATTGATGCTATGGACTGGCCCGCCCGTTCCTCAGACCTGAATCCAACTGAGCACATCTGGGATATCATGTCTCGCTCCATCCACCAACATCACGTTGCACCACAGACTGTCTGGGAGGAGCTCCTTCAGGAAACCATCCGCCACCTCATCAGGAGCATGCACAGGCATTGTAAGGAGGTCATACAGGCACGTGGAGGCCCCACACACTACTGAGCTTCATTTTGACTTGTTTTAAGGACATTACATCAAAGTTGGATCGGCCTGTAGTGTGTTTTTCCACTTTAATTTTGAGTGTGACTCCAAATCCAGACCTCCATGGGCTGAAAAATTTGATTTCCATTTTTTTATTTTTGTGTGATTTTGTTGTCAGCACATTCAGCTATGTAAAGAACAAAGTATTTCAGAAGAATATTTAATTCTTTCTGATCTAGAATGTGTTATTTTTCTGTTCACTTAATTTTTTTGAGCAGTGTATATCCTAAGCTGGATCAATGAATGAGTTAGCCTTGAATGCAGAGCATCATTAGAGGACCACTCCACTCCCATAAAGCATTCCAGCTTGCTGGGTACCCCATAATAATGGCAGTTTGTAAAAGTGCTGATTTCTATGAGAAATTGGCACATTTATAAATTAACTATGGAATAACCCCCTCACTGCCAATCAGTCAACCAGGGGGCTCCCCTGCACTAACAGAAGAGACAGGCATACTCTACTTGGAGTCTGTGTTGACTTAAAGTAGCACTTTAGTGTTAAGAATGCAAAAATGTATTCGTAACACTAAAGCTCCCCCTCGCCCATGATAGGTTTAAAAAAACCTTTCAGTCACTTACCCTATTCCAGCGCCTATTTGGTCATCTTTTTTTTTTTTTATTTTTTTTTTAATTGAGCCATTGTATATATTATAAATGAATGTAACTAGCAATCATTATTCTAGATAGATAGAAAGATAGATTCAATTTACATAATTTACATCATATTTACATCATATTTAGAATAATTGTTCCCATAATTTTGCACATGTTTATGGCTCTATGGCATCTGACCGATGTATGTTCACCAAAAGTGTAAAATCTGGTATATAATTTTTCAATGTTTTCACAGTCCTTTTTTTCAAAGTTTTTTTTTTTTTGTCTCACTTTTTTGTTGAGTTAAGTGTTTAAGTTCTGAAGGTGTTAACCAGCTTTTTAGGTTTATGGGTTGAAGATCTGCAGAGGATCTCATTAGTGCCCAGGTGTGCATGCTACAGAGAGATTAGTTTTCCAATTTCT